ATAAAGGGGTACATGCACTTTTGAGAGTAGCAGATAAAGAGGAAGACGATGTTTGTGAGCTTTGGTATTGTTGGAATAATTAAAATTGCTGAAATTGACGCTATAGCTCCGCGTCATGAAAGACTGATTGTAGTTGACTTTCACTATCAGATGAGGAGAAGTTGTCCTAAGCAGTCATGTAAGCACCATTGGCCTTCTTTTTTAATTCAGAACAATTATATTTGAGATGTCCTGACTGGTGACAGTAGTTACAAGTCTTCACTCAGTCATCGCCATGAGTATGTCCGCCTTGAGATGGACCTTCACGGGCACCTCGTTGACCACCTCAACCCCTAAAACAACTAGTGTGGTAACCTCCTCGCCCTTCAAAGTTTCCTCTACCTCTTCCAGGACCACCAGTATGACCATCTCGTTCATAAGACTGTCAACTCTGAGTGGCAAGCGCAGAGCGATCCGTAGTGAATGTAAGTGGTTGTGCAGGGACAACGTTCTTCAGAAAGTACTAAGTCTCAGCCAGAGAACTAATGACGTAGCTCCCCATGATTTATGGTCGAGCAGAGGAGTAAATAGAATCTAAGGTACCCAAGTAGGTAAGTACCATAAGTTTATTCCATTAGTCCTGTATTTGTTTTACATCCCCAGTAATAGGAAAAATCTGACGAAGTTCCTTAGCCAGACGATTGAACGCATAATAATGATCATCCATGGGTTTACCATCTTGTTTCTTACGAAACAGCTCTTGAATTACTTCATATGCCCGATTAATATTGTTGCTAACCCCATACAGGTCTTGTAAAAAACAATAAAATTTTCTTCACTATCATACAATAAAGAACTAAATTCTAAATTCTAGGCTCCATAGTATTAAGAATTTGATGCAAAAAGACACTATCATCCAATGTCCAAGATTCCATTGTCGAAGTAGGAGGGTCTATCAACAAATCGCCAGTTTTGCCTCGGCCTGCCATGTAGATTTTAATAACATGCTTACACTAAAAATAATTAATTCCATCAAACTTCCGATCAGTGATTTTACCAGAAAATATCTTCGAAACTTTCGTCTGAACCGTTAACTCAGAATTCTTGAGTTCCTCAGATACGACCATCATAAAACAGACGAGTAGAGTTCAAGACGATACCCTCCATAAATTACACTCCAAACTTGAAACAATCAAAGCATGTCCAAGTTCAAGATAATAACTCTTGAATTAGCCAGTAGGCTGAACAAGTCCAAGAACCTGAAGGTTTAATTTTGAACCCGAAGGTTAACATGGAACCCGAAGGTTAAAGATCAAGAACCCGAAGGTTAAGATGGAACCCGAAGGTTTTTTTAATTAATTTTTTTTAATTTTATTTACAGTATAATTCCTATATCTGATTCAAATCCAAAAACGATAAGGGAGGGGGGACAGAGGAGCATGGCGACGGTGAGTGAAGGCCTCAAGGTGGTGTCGACGTCGGGATGATTAAATCAATCTTTCATGTTCTTGTACTATTAATACCATTCATGCTAAGTGAAAATATGATCATTCCTTTTTGAAATTGAAGATTGCATTTGCCAAACATTACAAAATTGAGGAGTCCAAACTAAATATGATCTTTGCATGAGCCAACTTTTATCTTCCTCTATTCTGCAAAGTGTTCACTAGGGGTGGGCAAACACCGAAACAAACCGGTTCAACCGAAAAAACCGCCCGAAAAAACGGATCGGTTAACCGAACCGAATTAAATGGATGAGAAGAAGTCTCTAAACCGCCCGAACCGAATTAAACCGGTCTGGATCCGGTTTGAACCCCTGAACCGCCCAAAAAAAACCGAACCGAATTCTTAAACAAAAAGTAGCTGCGAGCCTTGGGTGTGAAGAAAATTTATGGCTGAATGTTTAGCATTTAAGAATTGTGGGGTGGAGTTTATACTAACATATATTTGAGTACGCTGATATAGTTAAGTGAGATTTCCGTAAATCAATACAAGATGTTGAGGTTGAAGGATAAATTTAGTGTTTTGGTCAAATTTCAGTGATAACATGAATACAGCTTGCTGGTGCTGGATATCAAATTAACCTATAGTATAGGCTGTCAAGGATATAAGATAATTCTTGATGAGAAAAAGGCAGCTACAAATTAACGAAAATCATCAAAAGGTGTGTGTGCCTGCCAAACATTGTTCTTTCTCTAAAAAAGGCTACATAATTACATGGTCCTCCTAGTGTATTAAGCTAGTTATATTCAGATCATACAATTTAATTAAGTGGCTTAGTACAGTTTTGATTGTTTCTTTTCAGTTTTGATTGCTTCTTTTCAGTTTTGGATATAACTAAAACTTACCCAGATTTTTGTGAAATGAAGTTAATTCGGTTCAAAACCGAAACCGAACCGAACCGAACCGAATTTCGGTTGGGCCGAATATTCGGATGAAGGAGAAAAAATCTGGATCTGGATGAGAGTTTTGAGAATCCGAAAAATTCGGATTGGATGCGGATTGGGCTTAAAACCGAACCGAACCGAATACGCCCAGCCCTATCTGATACCATGTTAAGATTTGAAGAAAAGAGTTTATTGGAGTCTTCTCCTCACTCTATACTTTATTATTTATAGAGATGGATTAGTTACAAGTTAGTCTCACAAGCAATGTAGGACTAAACTAATGCTAAACTAATATTCTTTTCTAACAAAGATGATGTAAAAAAGATAGAAGAATCTTAGTCATCGGGAGGAGGCTATCAAGGCGGAAAGCATAAAAACCCTCAGCATTCTTGAGATTTAGAAACAAGAAAGAATCTAGTTTCGGTGAACCCGCTCTTGTACCATGTGAAATTTAGGAGAAATCTCTTCGCATTGATAATTCGTGAAATACATTTATTTATAGATAAAAGAAGATGTAATATGGAAAGTCTTAATATGCTATGTAGGAAATAAGGAAGTAAATGCACTATGAAATATAGATAGATGCATTACTAGATATAGGAGATATGGAATAATAAAATTATATATTATACTTGATGGATGTCATACTATATTTAGATATAGATAGATGCATTACTATCTTTTTAATTGGAGGAGATTTTGTTGAACGTGGGAGGAGGTAGAGGAGGCAAGGGAGGTAGGAGGACGTGGAGGTGGAACTGGAGGAAATTAGACCATGACCTAAGTTTTGTAGTCTGCATAATGGCCCATACTCCCTAGGCTATCCCGAGACCTAAGCAGATAGCCTCAATACCACCAAGGAGCCTAGGCCGCTTTTTAAATCTATGATTTTTCCATCAAATCAAGACTCTTCAACCAAATTTGTATCTCAACTTCAAATCATGCTGCATCACTCACCCTAATATGCACACAAGATCAGGTGGACCTCACAACTATCATCTCTTGATATCTCATTTTACTAAATGAGGTGGCACCTACGCAATATCTCATGCATTTATGAATCTATGTATGGGAAATGAATCTATATATGTGAAATAATGAGGGGGCACCTCATTTTGCTAGTGAGGTCAGCCCTTCTAGTCACATCAAACCAGTGGACCCTACCACTACTGTCACTTGGTAGCTTATTTTTCTAAATAAAGGTGGTTGCTCATATCTAATATCGCATATATGTATACATACATATACATACATACATGCATACATATGTACATGTATGTGTATGTATGCATATATATTGTGTGTGTGTGTGCGCGTATGTGCGTGTATATATGGGCCACCTCATTTTATTAAATGACTGTCAAGAAAGACTAGTAAGGTGTATATACACATACAAAGATATACCTGTATACACACACATGTATGTGTGTGCACGTTAATTGACGCGATTTTTGAGAAGCATCCACCATTTGCAGGAGTGTCCGAGAAGTATTGGTGTCTGACATAGAGACAACTTCATGATAGAAATTGAAGTGTGTGCCATATGGTCTATAATTCTATTTTATAGTTCTATGAACCACAGCTTCAAGCTTAGCAGCCTCCTTAGGAGGACATTTCTTATTAACTTGAGATTAGCAGATGGTCAACTCTAAATTCCTAACTGACTTAACAATCAGTGTGAAAAGTGCAGAAATCGATTCAGGGTCAGTAGCAGGCTAAATTACCCTGACACTTCGTCTGGGCTCTTATATTCATGTCTGTCATGCATCCACATCGATAATCCTTCGACACTCCTTTAATATGCATACATTGATCCAGACATGCACTAAATTATATAATACATGTTTAGTTAAAACACTCGTCGTATACTCCTTGCACATATATCTTACACTTCTCGTCCAATTACCATGACTCGTTGGACAGAGGTCAGGTTCATTTTAGCTCATATCCAATCTAAAAGAATGATTTTAAAGGGTCATTTGAGTATCTAGTTTAATAAAAAAAAGTTTGGTTTCCTAATGCATATACTTAATAAATGAAACAACAAAAATGTTATAGGAATTTTAGTTTTCATAACATGTAAATATAATAACAAAATCGATCTCATATAAATTGCTAATATCAATATGCCATAGTCATTTTCTTGTATCCTGCCTTTTACGAATTTGTGGTATCCCTTATCCGGACCCCCATCCGCACCCATACCCATGTGCATAGGTGGCAGGTTTGCTAATTAGTACATCAATACATTGATTTGCAGACGCTAAACTAAATTAAAATACTTCCAACCACCAAACTTCTGAAATAACACAAGCTCTGATCAATTACTGCCTTAACAACAAATTGGCAATCGTTATTCTAAGAACAGAGTCTATCTACTTCACATCCTTAATGCAAACAACAACCACACATATACTCCCCCACATGTACTCTTTAACAGGGGTATTTTAGAAGGATTCCAGCAAGTGTGTGACAGTAATAGAACTATATTTTGTTTAACAAACTAATGAATAAAGAATGATCTAGAAAAATAATGCCCTTATAAGCATACCACTTCTATTTTTTTATCCGCATTACTACCATAATTCACAAATACAGTTAGTACGTTGGAAAGATATACATCAACAAAATTACCAGGATATAAGTCAATCTCTTTTGCTCATCCTCCAGCAGTCTTTCCTGCATATGGTGTACCAAATAACATGTTGTTATATGAACCTAAGGATAATATCTCATATATACTGGAGGACATTTTGTCAAATCAGAATTAGGTGTTTTTTTCATTCTCACATTCTTTTTCAGCATCTTCAAGTAGTTCATCTGCAATAAGTAAAGTAACTCAGGAAACCATCTCTATCAAAATCTTTCTGTGAGATAATATATAAAAATTAAAGCAAAGCCTGGATACCTGTTTATCTCGGACACTATCAAGTCCATTCTGCAGGACATCCTCTATTGGAATCAGTTCCTTTGGTGTCAAAGGGTTCAAATCCTCCCCTTTTAAATGCCTGATCAGCATCATGTAGTGATCACATATAAATGAAAATGGATACTCCAACTATATGTTCAGAGAAAAATATAACGGTGTCACCTAACCTTAGCTTAATTTGCATGTTATCATTCTCTTTCTTAATTCGGTCAATCTGGGCACTTAGACTCTGAAAAGGAGAAAATCATAATTCAGAAGAGATTATACACATTTCTCAGTACCAACTGTTTTATTAAGTGAGAACTAATGAGAAATAAGGCCCTAAAGTTAAACAGAGTGAAACTAACATCTGGAATGGCCTTTCATGATCAAAATAAAGATGTCAAAATTACTTTATTATCACCACTATGATCAAATACAAAAAGAAGTAACATGTCAAAGAATAAGTCGATCAAAATGTTGAAGTCAAAAGAGTAATGAAATTCTTGAAAGTAAAGTTGTTAGGTTCCTGTTTCTCACTTTTATTGTAACAGAAGAAGAATGGGATTAAAAAACCGCAAACTAGAGTTAATCCAAGAACTACACAGATGCTAAAGAGTGATTAGGAGATTCTTCTTTTTTTCCCCTTGGAAAGATATGAATTTAACTATTAATTGATTCATCAATAAACACAAGGTCAAAAGCATCACCAAAAAGATAAAGACCGCCATTTGTAGATTTCATAATGTGTTCCAGAAACACAGAACTTGGATAAGATTCTCATAAAATAAAAAGAAATAAAGAGAACTACTGTCAATGTGGAGAAAACCAGGTTAGAGTTTGGCTTCTTGTCACCTCCTTTCACCATCCTTACCTCATAATCTAAAGCCTAGCTCAAGAAGAAGATTGTAAAGTTTGTGGAATTTTTAGTGCCTTTTCCTTTATTTCATCTGCTATTTGTTGCTTGGGTACAAAACGACAATTGTTGAATGATTACAACAGGCTGACACGTTTTACTGGTTGTGTTATCCATTTTCCACACAGGCCAGGCCACAACTACCATATTGCAAAAAGGAAAAAATTTACAATGGACAAAACTAACTAAATTCTGATTGTTATTCACTTTCATCACATAACTGATCCCAATAAGAAAATACAGGAGTTGTTCGAGTCCATTCCTTGTTCAGGTGCAGAGAAATGCTTTGGTGGAGCCATGGATGAAGAATCAATTAGTCCATTTCCTATCAATTGAACCCAATGCCAAAGTTGAGACAAATCCTTTCCACAGTTTCTCTTATAGCATAACCTTTAACAATTCCTTCCACTAGACCTTAAGTCAAGGTTGAAGCACTACATTCAAGAACTTTTCCTAGTAGCTGTAAGTATAGTTTTTTGCTTCCATTTGATGAGAAACTATAGCATTATTGACCTTAATCGCTCTCACATCAGAACTAACTCTGGTACATCTATAATCACTTAAACAAAGCTAAGTTGATCTTTCTCTTTTAACAGTGAGACATGAAAACAGGACGAAGGGTGGCTAAAACTGGGAGATCTAGTTTGTAAGCAACTCCATTTAGTACCTTGTAAGGTCCATATAGTACTTAGAATAAGCTGTTTATAGGGTTAAATGCTCAAGGAAATATTATCTTTAAACAATTCTTAAACTAATGTGATGACAAAAACACATGATATAACCTTGTACATTCTTATTTGTGATTTCTGTCTCACAATCTTGTGCAGGTAATGTGCCGATTATGTTTCTATTAGCTCACCAAAAGTTAAAACAACTGTCTCCAGTAAAAAGCAGTAATGATGACTTCTCTATCATTGTAATGGACTTAGGTATGCCATAAAATCAGAACACTCCATTAAAAATATGTAAGCTACTTGTACTGATTCATGTGAAGATGTGCCAAGATAAATGTGCATAATTCATGGTTATTCTTATCTCCACAGCTAGGTAAGCCAGTTTTGAATTCATGCTATATCTTCCTGCTCTATCACAATCTTATCTGAGCGCTTAAGGAAAGCCAGTTATGAATTCATGACTATAACTTCCCGCATTTGCTCTATAATTGTTAAGGGTTACACTTGCCCAGATGATACTATAATCTCACTTTCCTGTCTCTAATAGATATCAAATTACTGAATATAAGTTTGTATATTTCTTCATCTCTGTCCAATAGAATGTTTGTCATGATTTATACAGGGTTTTTGCCGGCCCTGAATGCACAATAAGGGTGAGTCGTAATGTTCATATAACAATTCCTCGAACTTCTCTGCTTAAGGACCAATCAGGATTGTACCCTTGCAGAAATATACTCCAGGCTATTTACAGAAATTGGTGATATCCATTCACCCATCAGCAAGTTCCGTGTCTATATTCTGGAATTTATCAGTGGCATGCTTACACTTGATTTATCTACACAACTCCTTGTGCTATAAACATAGATATCAGACATTTTCAGTATTTGAGACTATAGACAAGAGAGAATTTTCTTTCCTAGAGAGATTATCAGCTGCAAATTCATTTCTTTTCTACCTTATTTTCTACTTTATAAACAAATCTGTAAAGTTTAACAAGCCACTTTGGAACCTGGGGTGCACCTTTTTCTTTCATGGGTTTTTCAAGCTCTAATGGTCCGCTTTAATCACAAATTTTTTGCCAATTAGAGATTGATGCAAGCTTTTAGTTGAAAATTTCAAATTTCACCTCTTTAAGGCTTGATTCAATAGATAATAGGCATTTGACTCCGCACTACATCTACATAGTTCCCTCTGATGCTTGAGGTTCAAGTATGGAATCTTCAGGAAAATCAGGTATAGCTAGAGCTAAGGGTTAATTAAAGATTCCGTGAGTGTCTCATAATCTGTGATTTGATTGACAACTGACTCTTTAAGCAACAAAGAGAGAACTAGCTAATGTTCCTAATCATTTAATAAATTTCTAAAATAGCCATCTAGCTTCAAAAATCTCCTTAAAGGCTTGAGCATAATAATCCATCTGCCACACGTTTTATCTTCTTTGGGCCAACGGTACTCTATTAGCAAAGATAATGTGACACAAATACTCAACTGTGGCTACCTAAAGTTGTGCTAGGATCATTTAATCACCAATTGATATTACTACAACACATAGAACACCAGCTCGAGATGATTCAACTGAGTTAGCCAAGTAGGAGCTGCACATCAAAATGTCATAAAGTACAAAAACAAATTCCTGCAATATGGCTTGAAAATAACATTCATGAGGGATTGAAAAGTGGATGATGAATAGGCTAATCTAAAGGATATTAGCAGAAGTTCATAGTGACATAAGTCTTGAGTATAATTTTGTGAATTCTATTTTCATATGCATACACCCTGATTTGGCGACAACCAAACCTTAAATCTACCTTGGAGAAGCATTGAGCTAATACAATTCATGCAACAACTATTAATATCAGGAATAAAACAATTCTTTCTAGTTTCTTTGTTGAGTTTCCTTATCCAATACACATTCCTCGTGAACCGTATTCTTTTCTAACAATCAATGTTACTGAAGGCTCTAGACAGACTAGGCGTTTGAACTAGCGCGTTGACGCCTAGGCATACGCCTAGGCAGGGCCTACGCGTTTGGCTAGTTTATAAATTATTTAATCATAATAATTAATAAAAGGACAAATTTTAAAAATAGACCTATTTACAAAATTAATTACAAATTTCGACCCATTTTCAACTTATTTATCAAAATCGACACAGTTTCAGCCATCTGGGTGAAACTGGGTCGATTTTGACCAAAAACTGTTCGAAACTTCACGGGACTTGAAGTCCCGTGAAGTTTAGGAGCCAGCTAATTAAGCTGTGTAACTTCACGGGACTTCAAGTCCCGTGAAATTTATTTACGTTCATGAAAATTCACGGGACTTGAAGTCCCGTGAAGTCTCAGACCCATTTTCCAGAGAAGTTGCCCTCTGGAAAATGAGGCCTGCAACTCCATAGGTCTTCAAGTCCCGTGGAGTTTGGCTTTGCCTATATAAGGCAAAGCCGACTGAACCACCCAGGCCCATACATACCCCTCACTCGCGACCCCAACGATGCCGGCCCTACCGTTGATCGCTTTCGCCACCATCACCATCGGAGTTCACCGGAAATTAGGGCATCGACAATTTTAAGGTAAAAATCTTTAAAAAAATTCTCCTAATTTTTTGTATATTCTCACTATTTCATGGTGATTACTTGTAAAAAAATTAAATTTTGAAATAAATTTTGAATTATTTATGAATTTTGTGAGGAAAAATTAAATAATTTTGTATATGAAGTTGGAGGGAAAATTATCGAAAATTGTAAAAGTTAGTGTTATTACAAAGGTTTGACGTTTGGTTAAAATTATGGGTTTTAAAAATTGATATTAGAGGATTTAATGGTAAATAATATTTTTTTATCATTTTCGTGTAATATTGATATTGAATTTTTTACTCTTCAGAGGTAACGATAAACTATCGAATCGTAATTCTTTGTTCATATGATAGGAAGATTAACTATCTCGAAAATAATATGCCCATTTATGAAGGTGGTGTGACGCAGTCGTTTATATCAAAATCGTGTACTTTCGATGAATTGATTAATGACTTACACAAACTTACATTAACCAAATCACGTGAGTATCACCTCAACGTTATTTACAATTATCCTGTTGTGGGGAACAGAACAAGCGGCATTCAAATCTCAAGTGACTATAATATGGGTCTTATTAGAATATTACATGACAAGAAACGTCCGGTGGAATTATTTATTAAAAAACATCAAAGAAATTTGGACAAATTGGTGAATCACGATAGAATATACTCTCGCATGTTAGAGTACCTTGAAGTTGACTCCGTCGGCTTTTGATCTCCACAACAAGATGTAGGCTGCACACAATCACAATACTTGAGCGGTCATTCGCTTGTGGGCACTTCAAATACCTTCGATACTAGCGCTCTCCATGAAGTTGATAATGCAAGTGTCGAATTCGAGGATGATGATGAAGAGGATGGCTTACAAATTAATAACATGACGTGTTTGATGGATCGCGATGAAGGGGACAACCAATATATTAATGGATGTTATACTAACAATAAGTATGTCGTGTTAGAGGATCTATCGCCCGATGAACTTCATGGAGAAGAATGGATTGATAACTCCACGATGGAAAGTATTCCTATCGCCATTGATATCGTTGATGATATACAAGGCGAGGACTTCTCATTTAAAAAGGGGGACCTATTTGAAATCAATGAGAAATTGGTTCATGCGCTTCGTTTGTGGGCCATCCAAAAAATATTAAGTTTAGACAAACAAAAAGCAATGCAACAAGCTATAATGTGGTTTGTTTTTACCGCAAAGATGATGAAAAAGAAAATAGTGATGGGCATCACGACGGCAATGCGAAATATCCTTGGAAGCTTAATTCACACTTGGGTGTAAGAGTAGGCGGGCAATTTAAAATCACACACTACAACGGACTCCACACATGTAACAATCCTCGTTTAGGGATGAATCATAAGCACGTGTCTGCCTCTTTTATATATCGATTGATTATGCCTAATCTAAGGGAGGATATTGACCTAAGGCCAAGAGATATTCGTCTTTTAGTGCATAAAGCGACCAATTTGGATGTATCATACAAAAAGTGTTGGAATGCTAGAATGAAGGCGATGATAAAAATATTCAGCATTGGGATAAATCATAAATCTTATGTGATTTTCGTGTGTATTGCTTGATTCATGGCTAAATTTTAAAAATATTGTTGTAATTCAGTATATATGTGATCGATTATTGTTCACAGGTGTATTTTCGTGAGTATTGTTTGATTCATGGCTGAAATTTAAGAATACTTTTGTAATTCAGTATATATTGTTTGATTCATGTATCTTGTTTGATTCATGATGAAAATTTCATGTTTATTGTTGTGAAATAGTTAGGAAATTATTTTTGCCATTTAGGAAAATCGTCGTGTATATAAAAAACATGCACAGCAGGCTGTGCATGTTTTTTAAAACTTACAGCTTCACGGGACTTGAAGTCCCGTGAAGTTGTAGGTTGAATTTCTAAAGGCTAGAAATTCTACTCAAACTTCACGGGACTTCAAGTCCCGTGAAGTTTTTTCTAGTAAAAAATTTCATAGGACATGAAGTCCTATGAAGTTTCAGACTTTTTTTTATCAAAATTGACCCTGGCTGAAACTGGGTCGGTTTTGACAAATAAGTTGAAAAGAAGTCAAAATTTGCAATTATTTTTATAAATGGGTCGGTTTTCAAAATTTGTCCTTAATAAAAATATGTATTAAGTTCATACAAATTTGTCAAAAAAAAAGATAGCAATTTTAGATCCATAATAAACCATACATAGTTAAATATTAAATAGCCAACATAATAACTAACAATGTTATAGAAAGCGCTAGGTGGTCTAGACATTGGACCCGATGCCTAAAGCCTAGAAGGTTTTATTTTTTTATTTTTTAATTATAATAAATTGATAGTAAATGTCAATGTTATAGAAAGCTTAGGTATCGGATTGATGTCTAGGCGGATCTATTTCTTCATTTACGTGGTGGTCGAGGAGGTTTTGCTGAATGTCATAGGAGGCAGTGGAGGTGAATATATATAAAGGTTAAAGGAATACGAAGGAGGTTGGAGGACGTGAAGGCTGCGACGTAGAAAATCACGATCAAGGTCTAAAGGGTGCAGTCCACATAAGCAGACAATGCTCCCCTAAACACTCCAGAACCTAGGTCGGCAGCCTAGGTACCGTCCAAGCGCTAAGCGCTAGCTAGGTGGCCTAGCTATCTTCTAGGCCTAGGCGTATGTCTAGGAAGACTAGGCGAAGACTTTTTAAAATAGTGCGAACAATGATAATACTGTGTGAGAATAAGGATTGATGTTCTATCTACACGCTCATGGGTTGAGCATCTTATTTATTAGTTTCTCTAACTCATCTATAAGATAATAAGCATATGTCTATATGGCCTTGACATACCAAGCACTCATATTGGTATGCATCATGCGATATAGACATGATCATCATCTCAAGAATGAAATAGAAAAACATTGAAATGCTCAATTCAGCTCAAGTTAGATGAAGCACTAACCATTAGTCTTGTCTGTGGAAATGGCTAGGTACGAAGATGGTTACTGAAGAATGTTTATTGGTTATCGGACACTCAACCGTCAAACTGTAATAGACAAATTTTTTATTCCTCCCATTAATGAATTGATGGATCAATTGCATAAAACTCCACGTTTATACAAACTTTATTAGAGATTTGTATGAGCACTATCAATTCGAGGTAACATGTTTTGGATTATGTCATCCACTTTCCAATCCCTAGTGATTGATGTTTTTAAGCCCTAATCAAGAAAACTGCTTTTGTATTTTTTATGAGCATGTCAGAGTACAGCTATGACTATTTGGTGCTTAAAAAATTACAGTTACAATAATTGGTGATTACACTATTTAAGTACAATTTAGTAGTTTGAACGGGCACAAATTTGGGTGAACTACGTGAGACTTGATTCCTTGGACAAGAGGATACATAGACAGTTATTTTTTGATGTAGCTAGTTTTATGAGTTGATACCGACATGGTGGAGTTTGTTAGAGTTCTTATTTGGGTTCCCTACTTGTTATGGATTGAGTCCGTTATCGTGGATTGATTTCACTTCGTACTGGATGCAACAAGTGGGACGTTTGGTTGATATTGGTATCGGCTCAGTTTTATTGGAAAAACTTTACCGAGGTGGAGATTATTGGTCAATTATGGAAGCACCGAAAGGCAGCTTGATTTCATTGACAAAGAGAGGAGGTGGCTTGCTTTCAGTGGCCATGTTGACAAAGAGAGGGAAGGCGGCTTGATATTGGTGACAAAATCAAGCATGATTTGTTGACAAAATAAGGGTATGGAGGCTACAAAGGGACGCCCACCGCTGCTCTGTTAATATATCAATCAGAAGCTTGAGAGAAGAGAAATAATCAAAATCTTGAGCAGAGTGAAGAGAGTGATTAGGTTTTGTTATTTGGGCAATTTTGTGAGAGAGCTTGAGAGAAGAGGTAAAAATCAAGAGTGACTTGTTTGTGAGATTATTGAGTGATTGTAATCTCTATTTATACTCTCTCTCTCTCTATTAGTGAGATCTATCCCCTCCTTGCCCTATGGACGTAGGCACATTGCCAAACCACGTAAATTTGGTGTCTTGGTGCTTATTTTGGGTGTTGATTTGTGCTCCTATCTCGAATTTGATTTCTATTCCGCGGTGCACAACAACTACTCCATCCAATGAAATAAGCAATTAAAGTACACAAGGAACAAAGAAAATTGACTAAACGACTGGCCATGTAGTAATTAAGATTTTGCAAGGGGCTATTCACTATGTCTTCACACAATCAATCAAGACGTTACTTTTACCACTTCTGTGAAACAAATAAAGGCGTTAAAAACACATGTAAGCCAGAATTCCCAAATTCCTCAGAAACGCATGCTGGAATACACGGAAAATCATCAAAGATTTCTCCTTTTCCATTTATGATATCAAAATGATCTAGGGTTTAGACGTAAGACCTCATGGTTAGCATCCCAAAGCTTCTTCCCACAATTCTGCTGGTACCTCTCCAAAATCCTTGAGAACCTAACAAAAATTACCCTTGATTTAGTCAACAAAAACCCGTAAAAACACCAAAAAAAGGAGGAAATAAAAAGAAAAAGTTACTTACGAGGTGTTAGCACTACAGTAATCAGAGATCTTGCCGGAGCTGGAGAAGATGAGGACAGAAACCTGGGCCTCGCAGAGGACGCTGATCTCCCTCGCCTTCTTGATGATCCCGTTTCGCCTCTTCGAGAAGGTCACCTGCCGATTCGTCGAGTTCTCGATCCGCTTGATCTCGATCTTCCCTCGACCCATCTCTCTCTTTCTCAACTCTCACAACTTGATCTCAGATAGTGGAACATAATTGAAGAAAGAACAAGAAATTTAATGTGTTTTTTGGTTGCATATTTTGGGAAAGGGGAGTGGGTGCTTTCGGAGGAGAACACAAAGGCATAGCTCCATTTGAAGATCAGAGAGAGAGGGGTGGGGGGGGGGGGGTAATTTTT